CGGTGACATCTAGTGGCATGAACGTGTTACTTACATATATGAAATCCAGCTATTGAGTTGGGTTTCACTATTACTCCTACAAATTGTAATTGGTTCCAATGTTGCCGGCTCTGTTAAAAACTTTCTAGGTTTGATCGTGGTTTTGTAAACGATTTACACACATTACGTTTACGTCTGTTTGTCTAAACAACTTATCTAAATCCACACAATTTTCAGCCTGGTGAACTTACCAACTGTCCCAGCAGGTGGCGTGCCGCCCATTCAACAAAGCCTGCTCGCTTAGAATTAGGAGCAACACCTGCTACTGCTGCTACCTTTACTGTGAGAGGTGAGAGAAGCAGACATTAAACAAGCACTTCACAACTGGGTTTACCTTGAGAAGCTCGTATTTCAAATCCGACTGGTGAATTCAGATTCTGTAGAAACGACTAGGCAGAAGTCATTTCTGCAGTGTTAATGGTCATAGAAGCGCTTGTAGCTCATGACAGCAAGACTGAAAACACTAAAAGTCGTTCATGACTCACCGCTGCCCTCTTCCTGTCCCAGCTCAGAGTACCACAGCCATTACTATGAGTTCACGGGGGTCAGCAGCTGCTTCGATGCGATCCACCTGTACCGACTCCTGTGGGCCTCTGTGATGCTGAACGTGGTCGCCATGTTCCTGGGCATCATCAACGCTGCCATCCTTGGAGCGTACAAGGATATGGTGAGAAGCAGGCCCAGAAGAATTACAACGAAAAAAGAACTTTTTCTATTGGTTTCATGTAATATTGAAATTTTCCAAGAAAACTGAATTTGGGATTTTCATCATCTGGAAAGCCACAATCATCAGAGTTCCAACAGAAATAAATCCTTGCATCACTTTGTACGTTAAGTATTTTACTAAACAGTTGAGTTTCACTGGTTGAAATGTATTTCACTGGTGAGACACATTTTCAGGAAAGTTCTAGCACCTGCAATTATTAAGTTGCAGGTGCTTATATGCTGACACAAAACTGGTTGCCTGAGTTTAGGAATCTTTAAAGTCATTGGTCAAATTTGAGTGGAAAACACTCTCTCCTTTCCTGTGGTACTTATAAAAAAATGTCTGAAAGCTTGAAGAGCTTTAAAATATTAATGATGCAAACATCTGTTTTAATTTATGCCTCCAAACCTTACTTAATGATATCTCACTTCGTCCTTGGTTGAAATTCTTATTATTATTATTTTACTCCTGCAGCAGAAGCCCACTGCTCAGATTGCTCCAAGCCCTGCGCCTCCACCCCACATCCTCTACAACCCGACCCAGCACATGCTCTCCTACTCGGGCTTCTGCCCCTCAGGGCAGGCTCTGCCCGCCTACCCAAACTACCCCATACCCATGCAGGTACCAAAGCATAGCTACTAATGAGATGTTGTCCTGCCATGTGATAATCCACATGCATAACACAAAGTACTGGCTGATGCTTTAAGGTGAAATATTTTTGGTGATTCTTGGTTGACATTTCTTTGGCCACGCTGCAAAGATCAAAGAAATGAAAAGCACATTTCACCTAAAAATAAGAAAGATCACTTTTGGAGATTTTACTCCGTTTCTCCTCGCCTCCAGCATACCAGCAGCTTCCAAGCACCTGCCACCCCCCAGATGATCCCTGACGGAGGCTCCGGCGCCAACCCCTCTGAGGAGAGCCAGAACCAGCAGCCCGTCCAGATGCCCACCCAGCCACCGTCTCAGGGAGCCACCCAGGACCCCGGAGGCTATATGCTGACCCCCAACGCTCCCGTCCTGTACGGATCCACCTACAGCCCCTTCGAGAAGCCCCCGCCGTATGCCTGCTGAGCCCCGACACACACACACACACACACGGAGAGAGGTGGAGGAGGATGTCTTCACCTGGTTCAGCACAAGACTTTTTGAAGGTTGTCTTTGTAGAGAGAAAACTCACTACATTTCAGTTCTGTGTCTTTTGGGTTTTAACTGATCTCAGACACAGACTGATAGATGTATATCTTTATGTTTCCTGTGGTTAACTGAGAAAATCAGCTCAGTTACCTTATTTTCAGCATAAGATTATAATTCGTCACTCGTAAAGAGTCTAAAACCGATCAACAGTACGACCCCCAAAGAGCAACTTACCACCTCAGTATTTCAAAACCAGAAGAATACACGCTTACTCCTGCAGCTGGTTCACTAGATCAGACGCAAGCAAGTAAAGGGAGTAAGCAAACTCCTCAGAGGCTCAAGCTGACACTAAAATATGGGATTTTATTTATGAAGGATCGCTACAATTCACTTCACCACATGTTTGGAGCCCAACATTCCCGCCAAGATCTCATCCTCTGACATTTTAAGGTTAGTCAAAGGTATGAGACTTTAAAACAAAACAAAACAGTAAATGTCTGAAGCACCATTTCTGTTCATTGGGATTTAAAGGAAATTAAGCCCCTTTTCTCGTTTATTTTAGGTTGAAGACTGTGGGTTTGCAGATCAGATCTGCTAAGCCAGCATTTATCAATCTAAAAATATTGCCCGCGTTAAGAAAATTTAAAAGTAAGCAAATTTCCAAAGTACTCAGTAATTTACGTCTCAGTTGCTGATGGACGCTATGAATGTACAGTGTGATATTAGGACAGTGGACTGATCTAATGTCTCGTTTAGATAATAGATAATCTTTATTTAAATTGAAAAGGGCTTTCTTGAAATGTGAAATGGAGACCAGATGATATTCATGTTGCTCTTATTTAATCTTCGTGTTATTTAATGTGCACTTAAGAGTCAATATACTGTATGCATTATTGATGTGTGTAAACTGTTAGGATTCAGTATCTGCTGCTATGAAATTCATACCGTTTTGATCTTTGACCTATATATTTGTGCTGCAAGGGCTTCGAAAGAACATCAAACAGTAGATTTTGGAAAATACGTGCATTTTCTTCTTGAGGGGAATAATGCAACATTCCCGTTCGAGTGGTGCATACAGTGACAACCAAAATATAAGTGGAAAAAAAGAAGCATGTCCCTAAGAGTCTTTGTTGACAGCAAGTGGAGAAGAGATGCTACGACGATCAGAAAATCAACCTTGCGTAAACACAAACCCTGGCGTTTATCTGCCTTCATTGTGAGAAAAATGTGTATTTCTTGGAAGATTCAACTGAACACAGACTCAGACTACTAGGTGACTTCACTGTATAACTCCAGTTGCTGTAAGTTTAAAAAAAAAAGGATAATTTAAATATCTTGTTTAAGTAAAAAGCAATAAAATGTGGTTCTGCAACAGCTGTTCTGTCGGGCCGGATCAGAAGTTTCAAGCAGCTTTATTTCAACATGTTTTCCTATAAACCCGACTGTATACATGTCCACTTCTTGTGCTGAAGTTGGGGCCTTGCATTTTAAAGGGCCATGGCAGTCTGTTACATAAGCTCACTTTCAACAAACATGATTCTCAACTTCATTTTAAATGTGTAGCGTTTACTCTCCAGGGAGAGATGGGAATTTAAGGTCCTAAACTCAAAGTTTACTCAAGATCCGCTGGTTTTTATTCTTTTCAATCAACCCCGTCCCTTATACTGCACACCTCCGACAAAATGTTTTAAATTCTCTCATGCTGAAAATGTCAAGACTATAACAAACATCAACATGAACTGAAATCTATTATCTTTAGTGCTTTCTGTAATAAAAATAACTCAAAGATGCAGCCCAAATTTAGAACACGACTGTAAAAAAGACCACACACACAAATCTTCTTTTTTTTTCTTGAAAATACAATTTTACTCTATAATATAATGTTCATACAGCTGATTTTATTTTTAAATAGGTTTAAGGGAAGTTAAAACTCAAAAGGCAGACATCTTGCAGCATTGTACACATACTGGCAGTTTAAAGTGAAAAATAAAAATAAGAGAAAATTCAAGATACAACACGATTAAAAAAAACAAACAAAATACAATAGAAGGTCAAACTTGATACGCTTGCATTCATTCATAAGAGAACTATAAAATGACAGGGATGTGAAATAACACCGGAGCCCTTTTGGCGTTTCAAGTCAAAATGCTCCTCTGACATTCTCAGCTTTGAAACGTGTTTTGATTTGCTCAGCACCGATAAATTAAAAACGAGCTCCTAAAGACTGATGCTACTTTGATTCCAGGCTATTGTTCTCCTCACCTCTTGGTTTCTGTGTCAAGCAGACAAACTTATTGCCGAAGCTTTCCTCAGACTCGGGCTGAGAGGCTTTTGTGTTGTTTTTATTTTTTTTGTCGTTGAAACGATCCAAAAATATTGCAGCAGAAGTAGTGTTTGCTTTCTGTCGTTTCTAAAGCATTTTACAGTAACATTATTTACACACAGTATAATACAGCGCACTCTTCTTGTTCTCAGTAGCTTGTGTGGTGCGATTGATGCAGTGCTTTGTCCGTCGCTCATGGACAGCGCCCCTTCCCGTCTCTTCTGTGCTTCTGTAGCCGTCAGGTTGGTATGTGGCAGGTTTTAACTGTGACTGAGTGACTCGGGGAAAAGAAGGGGAGTCTGTGATGAAGTAAGTGACTAAAGCTCAACAACCAGGTCAGTGCTTCAAAGGATCGGAATCCACCCGGAAAATGCACAGGCCGATAATTTGAGCTGTTACAGTACTGCACCGCTGCAAAAAAAATGGTTCACCCGATCGGAGGGGGAGCTGCTGACAAGTTTGGGTTGTTGTTTTCTAGGCACATGGTTGATTTTTTTTAAGGTTGCAGGCAGAGATGAAGTGCTTTTGCAATCGAGAGGAGATCATAAAAATGGCTCCACGTTGCAGTCCATTTCTACCTGTAACGATGTGCAAGGTCATCAGCAAAACACAGAGCTGTGTTTTCGATGCTGTGGCTCAAGAGGAGATTCAGCATTTTAAGGGCAAATACGAGTCTCGATTCACAATCAACACGTTGTTATGCACCAAACACTCAGAGACGTTTAAGCACCAGATGATGACACTTTCTCTGAGCAGGGTAGTGTAGGGTCCTTGTTTGTTTGTTTTTTTTTAACATTTGTTAGCACTCCCTTTAATCAAGTTTTGGAAATGCCAGCAAAGACATTAAAATAAATCTGTATTTCAACAAAGGTAGGATGTGTAGAACTCCGACCAGACAGGCTCTAACCATTTAACACTGCTTTGGAAATCGTCTGCTGTGTTTTTATGGGCTAATGAGCCTGTAATACGTTGGCAGCTGACATAAAATACAAAATGTATTGCCATGTATTTGCTGGGTTTTATGGATTTTCCTGCTCAGTTGCCACCTGACATGCTGGGGTAGAAATCTCCAGCAATTTATGTAGCAGTGTCAATTAAAAAAAAAAAAAAAAAAAAAAAGGGGGTTTTTTTTTTTTTTCAATCTAAGCTATCTCCCAATGAGTCAAAGCTTTTGGAATTTTAGTGGACATTTTCTCCCCACCCCCATCAAGTCAAAGACCTACTTATAGACCGCTTTGTGTCACAGCTGAGAGTTCAGCAGGGGGCAGGAGTGAGAACGGATGTCGTTGTGTTTGTGGATGGCCTTGTCCAGGTCCAGAGACTGTCCGTTCACTGCGACTTCCAAGCAGCCGCTGTAGGCCGCCGACACCAGCGTGGACACCAGGGAGACGTCTGAGGGAGGAAATGACAACATGTGAGTCAGCAACACCAAAAGTTTTACTCCCGGTGTTGAATCTGCCACTTAGCAAACAAGAGCCCAGCCCCGCTACACGAGCCAGTGTTAATTACTGCTCTGATGTACGATTAGAGGCTCGGAGCTACTCTCTTCTTAAAACAGTGGGTTTTATTTGCTCTAACAAACGGCTCAGAAATGGAGCAACTATGATTAGAAACAAAATGAAACAATGTGCTGCTGGTTTTATTTAGTAAGGTGATGTTTTGGCAGCTGATCAGCACTTTGTTGTAGAAAGTACTGGAGATGAGGTTTGATAACACTAAGATCATGCAGAATGTTGACTTTCAACTTTACAAGTGAATGTGGAAAACCAACTTAGGCAAAAAAAAAAAAAAAAAGGGGGTTAGTCGTTACCTGGGAGACCTCCTATAAAGGTGCTCGAATGTGAGAAGACGTCTGTGGTGTATTCTGATTCTTCGCTTCGTCCAGGCTGACCGTCGACCAGAAGGAGAGTCTGGTTACCTGAGATGGTCACCTGGATGTTGTGGCTCTCGCCGTCGCAGAGGGGTGCAGGAGAGCTGGCGATAACCACGTCACCTACAGAAACCAGGATGAACTGAAACACAAGCACGAGATCAGTTTTTACAGGGAAAGAAGACGAATGTGTGAGGAGGCCGAGTTATGAATCACTCACATCTCTCCACTCTTCTGTGGTGGGATTGTAGTCAGACAGAGCGATAGAGAGAGGCACTTTGTCCTGGTGAACCAGCGCAAACAGCACTCCGATACCAGAAAGTGGGCGCAGGGTCATCTGGATGCTCATGTTCTTGGACTCTAGAGAGCAGGAAGTTTTGAGTACATGTTGAAAGAGTCGGTGAAAGTCAACTTACAGTCATCAAAACAAGCCTAACAGTGAACTTGATGAATCAGGAATGACAAATTACACTTTGTTGTGCGATGTCCAATGCTTCTGCACAACTATGCACACTTGGGATGGACCTGAATATGTTATTAAAGTCTACCAAAGTTTTAAAAAAGGTATAGTTTCAAACTACTAGATTTTTTTTGTAATGCTGCTTTGTTTGAAGTCCAATCATTCTGAGTTTTCTCTAAGTGTCTGGAGGATAGAGTGATCACCATAGCTGATGTTGAAGAGAGCGAAGCCTGATCCAGGGTAATACGCTCCAGGAGCCTCAGAGCTGAAACACTGCATGTTGTCGTTGGACCGAATAGTTTCTTGGATTGAGGTGTCTTCACCCGTCAGCCAGCGCCACTCCATCATGCAGCCGTCCAGACGGGGATTTATCTAGGCGTCAAAGTCAGGACGGTTGGAAAACATCTGAACAGGACCTAACCTCAGTGTGTGATCAGGAAAGCTAACAAGCACATACAAATAAACACCTGATTGACGAGGCCGTCCTCCCTGAAAGGAACTCCTCCGACAGTGAGGTTAAGTTCGTGCATGCCTTTCTTCAGCGTGAACAGGTCGCCGTTTACAGCGATCTTCATCACAGCCTCCCTGTCGATCTTTATCACCAGACTCCTGCCCTGCTCCTCCACTGAGATCTGTGACAACACATCCAAGATGTTTTCAGTAAGTTCAAATTCTTCATGTTGTGTGTAGCTGCTTTTCAAGCCTCTGAGCAGAAACTGCTAACCTTTCTCCACTGGCCGTCGTTGACGAGGGGCCCGCTGCTGGTGACTCTGCTGACGGCGCCGTACTTGAGCTGCAGCTCCAGTTTCCCCTGATGCATTGCGAGGACAATCCAGGAGCTGTTGAGGTGGCCTCCTGCGAAGAAGATCACCCCCTCACCATCGAAGGTGCGGAAGTCAAACTCTGCAGAGAAACTGATGAAGGCAGGAAAAAAAAAGAATGGAAAGAAATGAAACATGGTAGAAGCCAAAATATAGGAAATAATTTGGCCAAAAAAAAAAAAAAAAAAAAAAAGGGGGGCATTAAAAAAACACAAGGAATTTTAATTTTTTTTTGTAGGGGGGAACAT